TTTTGGAAGGGTTTATCGTTAGTTGAATAAGCCCATAAAATTCTGATGTGTAGAGCAATTATAAGGTTTCAATATCAGTGGCAATAATTCTGTGTGAATATTATGTATAACTCTGGATCTTGATAAGTTTCAGCTCACTAGGAGTAATTCAATTAGTCCAGAAAGGTTGGTAAAAAAAAAAATTTGTGCAAAGTGACCTGAAGAATGATTTACATGGAGTAGGGTGGAAAGATGGACAAAGCAATGACATTTAATATACGTACAACCACATTATGTGGGCTTATAAAAATTGTCTCAGTTTCACTAATTTTTAGCTTTTTGTTCAGATTAAGATAAACACACAGTACCTTTTATACCAAAAAATGGCCGCCAAGTAGCAGACACTATGTATCATTTCTATGTTTTATTGTAGTAGGATTGTGACCTATCTATACTCAGCTAGAATCAATATCACCCTGGCAAGTCCAGAGTAACAACAATACCAAACTTTACTGTGAATATTTCATGAATTAATTCAATCAACTCAATTACATCTAAAAATAGTAACATAATAAATAGCTAAACAAAATACACGCTAAAGACTACAGTTAAATGGAATTGGGTAAAAATCAATCACCCTCTTCAGACAAAATCAGAATTAAGCTGGTTATGTCATATATAATAGCATTACAGACGATAGATTTTAGCCAACAATCAAGTACATATAAACACACAAATTTGATAAATTAGCTAACAGCACGATCCATATATTGAAGAAATGAAATACATGTTGCTTAAATATTTAGAGCAATAAATTTGGTTAATTTGGCTAGAGTGACAGTGTCAACACCTATTCTGTATATCAATAATATCATGCTAAAGTTATCATGGCTGTGTTAGTCAAGACATCAGGGTAATGGACTCTCAACTAAAATGTCCAAGGACTGTTCCTGGTGTGGGTCAAGAAGAACCTCGTGATTTTTCATGTCCTTTCCCACTTGTCAGGGGTAGTGCATACTCATTACTTCAGTCAGTTATATATAAGGATAACTTGTGTTTTCAATTGTTTGCGTCACTTCACGTTTCTTCAAATTTTTCGTTACACATCTATCGTAGCAATGATTTCTGTGTTAAAATTTTATTTAAAACATGTTTAACCAGATCTGTCACATATGTGATAATAGCTGACACTATTGTCCTTTAATAGACAGAATTTAAGTAGATGAAACAGTGCTGTCAACCTTCTAGCATTGTTCAAAAATTACCCATATAATTTATTAGTTCCCCTGGAATGGTAGAGCAGAGATCCTGTGCAATTTTGGGGTGTTAAAAAACAAAAAAAAAAAATAATACCAATATCTTCATTTTAATGAAAACAAGCCAACGCCCAACAGTGAGGCTGATGTTCCCCGCCGAAATCCCAAAATAAATAGATGACACATTAATTAATCGCACATTTATTTTTTTCAAACGTATCATCCTATCAACTATGCACTAAGTTTCATCACTCTGAGTCTCTATCAGATAGAATTAAAGTTATCTTGTCCCAAAGCATCAACCAATGAAATTTCTTAGCTGTGCTTAGCTTTAGCTTGAAATGTTAATCATTGAACTCAGTCAAGACCTAATGAACATCTACATCAAGTTTAAACATTCTACCTTAATTAAAAGTAGAGTTGTTTTGTTCCAAAGTCTTGACCAATCAAATTTCTTATCGCTCTTTAGCCTAAGCAGAAAATTCTCATTGTCTAACTTAGTCAAGGTAATGATATAATGAATCTATACCCGGAGTTTCATCACTCTAACTCAATTAAAACCAAAGTTATCGAGCCCCAAAGCATCAACCAATCAGATTGCTTATCTCTGCTTACCATAAGCAGATAATGTTTATCATCGAATTCCATCAAGGAATTCACCTAATAAACACCTATGCCAAGTGTGAACATTCTAGCCCAATTAGAATGAGAGTTATTGTGTTCCAAAGTCTCGACCAATCAAATTATTGATTGCTCCGCTTTCCCTGAGCAGAAAATGCTCATTATCAAACTTAGTCAAGGTACAGGGTGACAGAAAAAAAACGTTCATCAATAAAAATCGAATAACTTCCAAAATTTTATTTAGATTAACACAAAAATTCAGCTACATTAGGTTAAGTCTATGTAGCAGACATCTCCAAAGTTTCAAGTCTGTACCACAAAAACTCTTTAACTGACGCTAAAAAAATGTGCTCTAAATGAGCTACCCGGTGCTGCAAGCACATTTGGGTCCGGCGGGCAAAGTTCTCGATGACCCTCCCACATTCTTCCCTTGGGATCGCTTTTATTGCTGCTGTGATTGCTGCCTTCAAATCAGGGATAGTCTGGGGGTTGTTGCCATACACCCTGTCTTTAAGGTATCCCCACAGATAAAAATCTGGGGCGTTCAAGTTCGGTGAATGCGGCGACCACTCCGGGTCACACCTGCGGCTGATCAGTCGGTCAGGGAAACGCTGCTGTAGCCATGCCAATGATTCATTTGAGGTGTGGGGAGTGGCACCATCCTGCTGGAACCACTGGAGGTCCCTGACGACCCCTCTTCGTTATTCAAGTTTAGGTGATGAACGCTTTTTTTGTGTAACCCGGTACTATACTTCAAGTTTCGCCACTCTCACTTAATTAGAACTAAAGTTATTGTGTCCCAAAGCATCAACCAATCAAATTGCTTATCTCTGCTCACCCTAAGCAGAAAATGCTTAGGCATTGGCCTAATAAACACCCACACCAAGTTTGAACATTCTAGTTCAATTCAAAAGGCGAGGGACAAAAAACTTTGCATGGATTCATGTGCCAATTTTTTTAGCCATGTCAAATTCAATTCTTCTTGAAATTTGACAAATTAAACTGCTTGCCATGTCAGTTTTCTATGATTCTGTAAACAGATCATGGCAGCCAAACAAAAACATGAACCACAACTATCTGGTTATTTTGACAACCTAACTGAATTTTTCCTTCTTCTTAAATTCTGAAAGCATCAATCCCTCTCTAGTCCTAATATGGTAACAAGCTTGCGTCACCAATGCAATCATCTCAAAGAACTCACAAAAATAAATACATTAAATACTTTAAAAATTCCAAACAAAAGTTGGAAGCTGCTATGAAAACAGTCAAATAGAATCGGTGTCTCGTGTAGAAGAACTTTAACTAATTTATAAAGTCAATGAGTTTTGGAGCCGGGATTTAAGCGCTTACACAAACAGATCACAGTTCTTTTAAAGGATCGATATCATCTTCTCTCCAAATACATCAACCGAAAAACTTCTTTAATTTGATTTTTGCCTCTGCTCATTTATTACGACACATTATCATCCGGGAAGTAAAGATCTGTGGCTAGATCAAAATACATAATTTGTCTCTAAAGGGAGTCAAGATAATTGATTTTTTTAGGTCTAAGTTGGAGCACATTGTTCAGACTAAACTAGAAGTTAAGAAAACAATGACAGATGTTGAGCTGTACACGATCTTCATCCTAAAGGAATACAGTGACTTCAAACTGGCATTTCAAAAGTAAGGCATTTAACATGGCTGTCCTGTTGTCCTTTTGTATTTAACCACAGAGCTTACAGAATTACAGATAAAAAAAAAAAATTTTTTTTTAATTTCTGATATTAAAATATTTATATCTCGAATTTCACCATATGAATGTTAATCTACAAACCATCCAAGTTATAAGTAGATACTCAAGATGGCTATATTACTTGCAATTTTATTGATCTTATGCAAATTGAGAAAATCAATCAATATGTGAAATCTTTGATGGAATGCTGAAGTATTGTTGTGTAAAATCATTACACCATGGAATAATAGCAACCAGAAATGTGATCTAAATAAGGATCATGACAGCATTTCCTTAATCAGTGTTCAAGTAAGTAAAGCTAAGAATATCATGTAACAATTACTTTATATCAATACTAATGCCTCCATGACACTTACAATAAATCTATTTGTCTGAAGGATTTAACCCAGCTTCCTCTAGTGCTATGGTCCCTACACACAGAATACAATAGTAATAACATAATCACTGATAGTCTAAATTCCTATTCAATACACAAGAGTGTGTTTCCCAAAAAACAAGATCAACTGCACCGAATTCAAGGAAAGTCACGTCCAGACCTGTGATAACTTCCATAACAAAAAAACACATGAATCTATAACTTTCTGTTTAATTAAATCATAAATGCATCATTCCATATTTATTTTTTTAATCATGCAATGTACGTCTGAATAGTGGAAATAGAATAATCCTCTCTTGAAAATTACATAAATCAATTCCAACAGCTTCAAACAAGGTGCCATATTGAGTCATGTTTTTGAGTCAAATACTTTCTTAATTTCTGACTAAAACTAGAAATAATTAACTTAAACTTGGAAGCTTCTCGGAAGCTTCAAATCAAATATTAAAGAACTGTTCACAAGAAAACTGTACAAAATTACAAATCCACATATTGGTAATCTAGAACTGCAAAATACCAAGAGATAATGTCTTATTTTGCATGCATGCTAATTATGTGTTAAACAAAATAATAGTTCGACAAAGAAAGAAATCTGTCTTTAATACAAAAAGACTACAAATTGGAGTGTATTTTTGCCTTTTTTGTAATTAAGCATAATTAAGTTTAATATTTAAATTTCTTTAAGTTATCCACTAAAGCTACATCGGAAAATCTTCTACAGCTGTCAATATATCGCCTTAAAATTTCTTACTTTTACATAATTACCTAGAATATAATTTAAATTAAAACAAAAGATACAAATAAGCATAGAAAACAAAAAGGCATTTTTGACCTTGATAAAAGGTCAATGGAATGACTTACGCATTAAATACCCAGCTCTATTAATTCTGATTCTTAATGTGTCACTTATAGCATATTATCCTATAACAGATGACAGCAGCTGAAATAAACAACCTTACATTAAGGCACTTTTCTCTTTGTTTTAATGCGAAAAAAATGGAAACATTTAAAGATATTATAGTAATTCATTTACCTTAGAGAGTTTGGGATTTTAGCACTTTCCACACGTTATTATTCCGTGCCTGCAATAAACCAAAATATTCCAATCAGCAAATTGTGTTTATATGTAGTTGAACTTGTAAATTATGGCTTTGTAAAAATGTTATTGCGCTGGTTTTCCTAGCGAGCTTGGTCACACGATGTCGACTGCCTGCAAGCTAAAGCATTCAATTCAATCAAGTTGAGCTCAATACTATGTATAATCATTGGTACACACTCCAAGATGAAATCAATAACAAGACTGAACCGAAAGTGCCTAGTGTCCAGTTATTATTCACTCTTGGCTATGCATGTTTTGATCAGTAAATATGTGTGCATGTTGATAAATTTGTTCTTCTCCATTTTATACAAGGGGAAAATAGGGTTTTACTAACGAGTTTCCAGCGTGTTTCATCTCATACATCTGGTACATTAAATCAAGAGACAAAACCCATCTATCATGATATAAAGCTTCTCTATTTTTTTACCGTTATTCTCAGAAAATCTACTGTTTTGCTCACGTAATCTGCTCAATAAAATACATATATGTTTGTCACACAGTGAATTTTCTAAGAGAATTGAAATGGGGTTTAACATCCTACTTTTCTGCACCAACTGGGCTAATGACAACACAAAAATAATCACTACACAATTTCCATTTTTCAAAATAAACCTCTAAAAAATTATATGTATTTAATATTTTTAAACAAATTAAATGCAAAAATAATCAACACACAATTTAATTTGCTTAATTAAAAAATCTTCAAAATGTACACCAAAATCTCCACCCCCTTTAATTAATAATAAAGAATTTTGAAGAACACATAAAAAATATTTTGTACTGTTTTCTATCATTTCAATCAATTCAATTCAATTTAATATAATTTAGTTCTTGTGTGATAATTCCATCAACAATTGCTTCTACAATCTATTCCTCACTTCAAAAAGATGCAGAACAACCTAGAAAGGATAGCTGTAAAGAAAAGCTTTGAAAATAATTTGCAAACGGTTTGTGAAGAGAAGCCTTGAGGCTAGTGAAAACCATCATTGAACAGCAAACAAGGCATTGACATATACTTCATATACCTCAGTGTAATTGACAAGCAATCATTCACAATCAAAGATATTAAAATGACGTGCAGGCAAAACTTAACTTTGCTCGAAGAGAAAAAAAACAGAATTTATTACTTTATTGTACAGAGTAAATATTTAATATTGTAATATTGTTTGTCATGTCATGTCATATACATGTCTATTATTTCTCACAATGGCAAATATCAAGAAAATAAAATGTAAGCTCACTGCTTTACTTCAAAGACCTACCTAATTAAAATACCAGAAAGTCTTTATTAAAGTAAAGATCCTGGATCTAAGAGCTACTGGCTATAGAACAATGCTAAATACTGTATTACCGGATGGTACAAGGATGAATTATTGTCAAATCTATTTCCTAGGGGATCCACAGTTGTTGGCAGTAAACAGAAAAGGTAGTAAAATATCAAAGCGAAGGATTCCCCCGAATGCCAGAAAAATAGATTCTGTGTTTTAATATAGGATAATGGTTTACAATTATTCAATCATATGTATATCATAGAGGTTTTTATGACGTTATTTGATTGCATAAAAGATTAATCATTGAGAGAATAATCTTTAAATACGATTAATTTCATTCTTACAGGAATGAATAATCCTATGGTAGATTAAAATTACTTATTTATTAAATATCAAACGTCTATTAAAATTAGATAAATCACACCAAACTTCTTTAATAATAAAAATTAAAACAGAAATATTTAAATCTAAGTATTCTCTAAAATAGAATATTCCACAAGATACTATAACTCTTTCAAGATTCTTTGATGTGGCAAGGCCACTTTTATTAGGTAAGTCGCAACTAGTTTCATCAGTGACTTTAAAGAAAGTGATTTTTTTTCTGGACTTTTTTTTTTCTTCAGATGAGCTGGCAAGTGGGTACTCTTTGAAATACCTTACCTTGTTTAGTGAATGAGCTGCCACATAGACTTTTTGTCCTGTGCTAAAATATACTTACTACTGACATGGTCATCACAAATTCATGGGGAATTCAATTTGGTAGCTGTGCATGTCATGATCCTAATACTGAGAGAGAGAGAGAGAGAGAGATGGCGTTTAACGTTCACTTGACACAAACTAGGCCATTTCGGTACCAACATATGGTTCAATTTTATTTCAATAATTCGCTTGTGTGTAGGAGTCTTTAGCAGTTGGAGGAAACCAGAGGACCAGGAGAAAACCCACAAGGTTGGAAAGGTGACCCTAATCCTTGTCACGTACAACCAGGGAATCAAAACCACGCCAGTTGACTCAATGACAGACCTTGTGATACAATGTGCATGTGTTAGCCATTCAGCCATCCCCCCTCACCCCCACCCCCATTACTAAAAGACCGGGTAGCTCATATAGATACAACGTTAGCCATTCAGCCATCCCCCCTCACAACCACCCCCATTACTAAAAGACCGGGTACCTCTTATAGATACAACTACAAGATACGGCCCTCATACTACTACAGTAAATTAATTACTTGACAGATTAGTTCCCTCATGACTGTAGAGTCATATGTTTATTTTAGTACTGTTAACTTGAGAACACATAATTTCTAGCTTTCCAGATATTGATGCAATTTTAAAATACAAGAGGTGAAGAGCATGACTTGTGATTCAGGTCTGTGATGTTTTTACCTCATTTAAGAAGTCAGTTCTTTGTTACATTCATATTTTTGCAATATATATTTTTTGTGCATCTACTGGTATCCAATTACAGGTGAGTAAATATAAAATGGATAAAGACATTTGAAACAGAGAATAAACTTGTCAGTTCTTCGTTATATTTATATTTTTGCAATATATATTTCTTGTGCATCTACCGGCATCCAATTACAGGTGAGTAAATATAAAATGGATAAAGACATTTGAAACAGAGATTCAACTTGTCTGGCTTGCAATCAGAGTAAAGATGGAAAGTGTAACCAGGTGTTCATAGACTTATAGCGCTTTCAAACTGGTACTTCGGTTCCTTCAAGTTCTTGTTTTGTACAATAAATATGTGTAGCTAAAACTACAAGAAAACATATGTAATGACATTCAATAATAGAATTACTTCAACTGTCTGATAGGCGATAAGCTAATTAAATATATTTCTATGGGATATGGATGAGAAAAAGACATAAACTAAGTTAATTAGATAAATCAATATGCGATATATCCCCTAACTTTATACAATACAATACCATATAATGAATATCAGAGATGTAACCTTATAAAGCATTCAACCTATATGTATGTTAAAATATTTTGTCTGTCTTAACAGAAATTGTATTCAGAATGACTCTTGATCAGATCCAACAATTCAAACTGAAAGCAACCGTAGGCATGTTCACCAGAATAATATCTATAAGAAGACTGTCCTTTAGAATGTTTTCTTTAAAATTAAATCCTTTCGTTAGGCCTTAAATGTTATATAAATTTTTAGTAAGACATTTACTAACTTGCCAAGACCATAATCAACTATCGATGCCATCCGATGCTCTAGATTTTCAAGAGATTTTTAATACGATTTGAGTTTGATGATTTAATTTAAAATTGGATATCGAGACTTTGTTTTTAATCTTAACAACAGTAGCATGACAATCGTTACTACACTGTTCTGCAATCGACTATAACTCCGCTCAGAATGAAGTAATTTTACTTAAATTTTCAACTCTTAATCCAATTTCAAATGAATTGACCGTCCATAACTAGGTCAACAGTGGTGTTACAAACTTCTGACTAAAGTGTCAGTAGGCTTCCATCCCCTTAAAAGTTTATTAGTTTTTACAAAGAAATATTTTTATTTGTTTTGTAGAATAATGTATTTTGGGTAACACTTTTGTTAGTTACAAAAAAATAAATAACAAAAAGTATGCATGCTCAATATGTCACAGATATTATCCATGTACATGTCACAGATATTATCCATGTATATGTCATAGATATTATCCATGTACATGTCACAGATATTATCCATGTATATGTCATAGATATTATCCACATATATATCACAGATATTATCCATGTATATATCCAGATATTATCCATGTTTATGTCCTGGATATTATCCATGTATATCATCCAGATGTTATCCAAGTATATCTCATGGATATATATATATCACATATATTATCCATGTATATCTCACAGGGAGCCACGGTGGTTAAGTGGGTAAGATACTGGCTTGCTAGCCTGGAGATCGCGTGTTCGATCCCTGAATTGGCCGAGAAAGTTCACTGTATACATTGGCGTGCATGTAAAAGATCCCAGGGCATGGGCAGTTGGAATTCAACATAAGATTAGGTCATAGTTCTGCTGCTTGGGCAAAATTTCCCTCATTGCACACTGTATGGTCTATGCCTGTCTTCAGTAGCCTATTTCATTTCATGTATATCTGGCGGATATTATCCATGTATATATCTCATGAACGGCTTGATAATAGTCAATTATAACCTGTCTTTGTTCATTCGATAAAAATTGCAACTCGTGTAATGTCTGTGGTAAATATAGTCCATTACCTTCTTTGTAAAAATGTATTACATTGATAGCTTGATCACTCGTCTAATGTGTAGTATTAAGGCTTGTTATCACCGGAACTAGACTGATTTATGATAGTAACCATAGTGGTTGGTTCATTGGTTAATAAGTCAGTTTTTTCAAACTTCAAATGGTTTATTGATCAGATTTCTTTTTCAAACTTCAAATGGCTGCAGCCAATTACGAGATATGATATGACTCATGAGTAAATAGAGAAAATTAACTCTAAAAAAAACACTGTATTTACTTTTGGCCATAAAACATTTCTGGTTGAAATATGCTAATAAATCTAAAAGACTAATATACCTTTAAAAATATATTCTAATGAAGACTTACACAAAAAACATTAAATTATACTGTGTTAAGCATCCATTTAACACAAACCAGGTAATTTTGGGACTAATATGTATTATATCTTGAATTCAATAAATTTGCTTCCA